TATGGCTGGGCGTGGTGGCTCACGCCTGTAATCAAAGCACTTTGGAAGCCAAGGCGGGCGGATCACCTGAGGTCGGGAGTTCAAGACCAGCCTGACCAACATGGTGAAACCCTGTCTTTAATTTTAAAAAAAAAAAAATTTTTTTTGATATTTAAAAAAGAAAAAAGTTATTACAGTATACATGATCTCATATGTTGTAGTAATTATTGAGCAAATTTTTATTTAAAGCTCTAACCTTGGGTTTAAAAAATTTTCTCTGGAAGGCTGGGCACAGTGGTTCATGCCTGTAATCTCAGCACTTTGGGAGGCTGAGGCGGGTGGATCACAAGGTCAGGAGTTTGATACCAGCCTGACCAACGTGGTAAAAATACAAAAATTAGCTGGGCGTGGTGGTGCACGCCTGTAATTCCAGCTACTCGGGTGGCAGAGATTGCAGTGAACTGAGATTGCTCGACAGAGTGAGACTGTGTCTCAAAAACAAACAAATTTTCTTTGATAAGAATACTTACGGATGTTTGCTTTAGAATTATAACTATAAGCATCTTTTTTTAGGGGGACAGGGTCTTGCTCTGTCACCAAGCTGGAGTGCAGTGGTGCTATCTTGGCTCACTGCAATCTCTGCCACCTGGGTTCAAGCTATTCGCCTGGCTCAGCCTCCTGAGTAGTTGGGACTACAGGCACGTGCCACCATGCCTGGCTAATTTATTTTTCCTATTTTAGTAGAGATGGGGTTTCACCATATTGGCCAGGATGGTCTTGATCTCTAGACCTCGTGATCCACCCACCTTGGCCTTCCAAAGTGCTGGGATTACAGGTGTGAGCCACAGAACCTGGCCAGGATCTGGTTTTTTACATGGACTTTATTTTAGGTTTGGGATAATTTCTGCTGAATAGGCCACTTAGTATTGTGTATTAAAAGAGGACGTATTTTATGACATTTAACAATTTCAGCAGATTACAAAATAGTGGGAAAATGGTAGACCCAGGGTAAAAAAGTATAGTAAGAAATCTCTGTTCTACCTTTATCCTATAGTAAGTCTGTACTTGCTGTTTATAATAGGTAATCTGTTTCTTGTGTATTCTTCCAGGGATATTTTATTCAAGCGATATATGTAGATATATATATTTTCACACATCATCCTTTTTAATTCTATGCTAAGTTCTGCCCTTAGCTTTTCTCACTTGACAGTATATTTCAGAGTTGGTCCAAATTAAGAAAGGAAATGCTTCTCAATTTTTTCCAACTTTTTATTATGAAAACTTTCAAGCAAAAATTAAAAGAATAGTAAAATGAACACTTGTTTATTAAAATTCAGCAATTTTTTTTTTTTTTTTTGAGAAGGAGTCTCTGTTGCCCAGGCTGGAGTGCAGTGGCGCGGTCTCAGCTGATTACAGTTTCCACTTCCCAGGTTCAAGCAATTCTCTTGTCTCAGCCTCCTGAATAGCTGGAATTACAGGCACTCACTACCACGCCCAGCTAAATTTTTGTATTTTTAGTAGAGATGGGGTTTTACCATGTCGGTCAGGGTAGTCTCGAACTCATGACATTAAGTGATCTGCCTGCCTTGGCCTCCCAAAGTGCTGGGATTACAGGTATGAGCCACTGCACCTGACCTTTTTTTTTTTTTTTGAGACAGTTCTTCCTGTGTCACCTAACCTGGAGTGCAGTAGTGTGATCTCTGCCCACTGCAACCTCTGCTTCCTGAGTTCAAGCAATTCTCATACCTCAGCCTCTGGAGTAGCTAGGATTACAGGTTTGTGCCACCACACCTGGCTAATTTTTGTATTTTTAGTAGAGATGGGGTTTTGCCATGTTGGCCAGGCTGGTCTCAAACTCCTGGCTTCAAGTGATCCACCTGCTTCAGTTTAACAAAGTGCTAGGATTACAGGCATGAGCCATTGTGCCTAGCCAACAGTTGTTAATATTATGCCATATTTTCTTTATTTTTGTGTGTGTTATCTATTTATTTATTTTGTGGAATCATTGGAAAATAAGTTGCAGGCGTGTTACTCCTAAATACTCTAGCAGACCCTTGTTAGGATAAGGACATTTTACATATGTATTTCTTGAGGCTTTGTATTATTCCATCATGGGGACAATATTGTCATTTAACCCTGCAAAACAACTGTTTCCATCTTACAGAAAAGGAAATTGAGATTTGGAGAAGTTAAATTACCAAGACTTCACAGGTATGTCAGCAGAGTTGAGATTTGAATCCTTGAAACCCTTTTCTACCTAGTACCAACTGCTTGGTCTTGGGGACCTCTCTTAGCTTGTTTCCTCATGTGTAAAAAAGTGCAAGATAGGCCGGGCACGGTGGCTAATGCCTGTAATCCCAGCACTTTGAGAGGCCGAGGCGGGCGGCTCACAAGGTCAAAAGATCAAGACCATCCTGACCGATACGGTGAAACCCTGTCTCTACTAAAAATACAAAAAGGTGGGCGTGGTGGCGTGTACCTGTAGTCTGTTCCAGCTGCTTGGGAGGCTGAGGCAGGAGAATTGCTTGAACCTGGGAGGCAGAGGTTGCAGTGAGCTGAGATCACGCCACTGCACTCCAGCCTGGCAACAGAGTGAGATTCCATCTCAAAAAAAAAAAGGCAGGGGCAGGATGGCTGTGAAAATTCAGAATGTATGTATAGTAAATTTAGCTCAATGTCTGTCGAATACTGGATACTTACTAGTTGGTAACTATCGTGTCATCATTGGACAAACC